ATTTTGTCTAAAAAGAGAAAAACCTATTTATAATATATATAATTTTGGGCAGAACTATCTCAAAAGAGGTAAAATACATGAAGAAAATCCATTAGGTTAAGAAACTCTCAAACATTTGAAATTCATAATTCTTCTGCTTGATAAGAGCTCTCCTATGAGATAAACTCTGAAAAAAACAAAAGCAAAAAAGACACCGTTGCCTCTTAAATAAGAAAAAAAAGTTTATGAAGCCTCAGAATTATGCCTAAAACTGGGGTGAGGGATTAGAAAATTCACTTGTACACATTTTACTTGCTCTAATAGCAAAAGAAAAATACTCCAACATTTATTACATAAACCTACTTAACTCACTTATCACTGTCTAAAATGTTTTAATAAAGTTTTTTCAACAACTCAGTTCTTAGCACTATATTGTATCATTTTTCTCTATAATCTTCCTCCTATTTTAACTCAAATGTGACAGAATTCTAAAGTACAAAATAGTCACAAATTTTAGGAGAAAAGAGGGTTCATAAAAATGCTGGGTAAATTTTAAAAATATTTACATAACTGTCTACTTTTATTTATTCTACAAGCAAATTAGGAAAAATGATGTTTGAAACCTCTGTAACATATTATAGACCAATTTGCTTCTGAAAAACAAAATCCTATCATTCTTCCACAAGACATGTTTGCATTGATAATTAAAAAGATTATTCTAATTTAAAGTTTCTTGAATGTTTTTGCAAAATGACACTACCCTAGACACTTTGAGAAAGAGGAAATAAGTACATAAATAAATATGCTTTTAATGTATTTTCTATTAAAATTTTTTTTTTAGTCAACAAAATAGTTGAGAGCAAAAGTTGTTCCAGATTGTTAATTCATCAAAAACAGTTTCATCAAGGTATTCTTGAGATCACTGAGGACAGATGCAAACTTTTTAGGGAAGCAGTGCATCCTTGGCAAATGACACACAACTTCGGACTCAATGCAATTACCTTGCTGACATATCAAAAACAACAATGCTTTGAGACAAAAGGATCAAAAGCTAGCAGAACATGGTCCGATGAGCAATCACAACAAAGGCTAGGTTTACTTAAGGTGCTGCAGAATCATCCCAGTCCTCAGTTTCAGCAAAAGATTGTGGGTCTCTATTTACTCAGTAGCCACTACTGGCAAAAAATAAAATCAAAGCCAAAAACCATGGCAAGTCTGCCAAAGATCTAAAAATAGGTTCAAAGATTAAATTATGAAGCAGAAGATATGGGGTCTGCTTTAAAAAGTCTCTCATAAGTGCTGTACCAGATGATAACTTTGCAAGCAGGGGAGGTAAGAGCACTAATCTCAAGTATGAAAAGAATGCAGTAACATTATTATTGATGTGATATTGAAACAAATAGCACTAGAGATGGTAAATAATTGCTGTTTTCATGGCTGCATCTTGATTAATTTGACAAACATACTTTTCCCTTTCTTTAAAAAAAAAAAACTTCAAGGAACTAAGGGAAAGAACTAGGAAGACAGTAAGTTTTGTTTTTTTTTTTTGGAAAGAAATATAGGAGAGTGAGGAAAAGAAAACAATAGTTAGAAAAAAACCACAATCACCCTTCTTTGCTAGTCTCTAATTTTTTTCTTATCCTTTTGAAAAAAAGTCAGACTGAAGGAAAGAGCACTTTTTGTTTGCTGAAAAAGATGGAACATGATATCACTATAGGCAAGACAAATAAAATAATCTTCAACAGAATAGAGAACATTGGAAGGAAAGCAGTAAGAAGGTAGAACTCGGCTATTTCTAAATCTCTTTATACAAACAAAAGTATTTTTATATACCTAAAATATTTGAAAGGCATTAGGCTTAATATTAACGATAGTTTTGTTTAATATAACTTTTCACATTATCAAATATTTCAAGTTTTGTGCTTCTAAGAATAATGCTCTAAGAGACATTATTTTCTAAATTGCAACCAAAAACTGCAACCCATATTACTGTAAGCACAAATTACTCAATTTTGATAAAGCATATTTAAGGCACTAAGACATTATAGCAGTATTTTCATATTATGTGTAATTTGGCCTACACTCACACAAAGTATTTGAAATCACTAAAATTCTGTTAATAGTTTTAACTGCATTTCATTATAATATATTATAAATATTTTTAGTGACAGCATTACATTTCTGTTTTTCAGTTAATCTCATTTTTGAAGAGAAAAACTTAATGGAGTCTTAAATGTGTGTAATAGGCTGCCCTCTAGTGTTATAAGTCATTTTAGCTATAAAACTTTTCAAATGGTACTCAAATTAATTTGAACTGAAAATATTTCAAATTAACATAAAGACAGCAATCACCTTTACTTTATGTGCCAAAAAGGTCTTGAAATATCTAAGAAAGGTTGGATCTAGGGACCATCAACCACTCACAAAAGTAAATAGGAGTAGAGGGCTTAAGATTTCCCAGTTCCCTGCAATACCTTTTGGTTTTCAGAACAAATACTGAAAGACTTTTCTCATAATACTTGGGTATCCTGCTTCCCCAAGTGAACAAAAATGAACTTGGGTGCAAGTTCTAGATGCCTGTACAACAAGATAAGTCAAATGAGTGCCCCCCAAAAGAGACCTGTGGGATATTGGCAAATCATTACGTTTATTCAGTGTATGTCATATGTGTGCTAACCACACACAAGGAAGGAACCACTCCAGAAGGAAGAGTCTCTAGGTTATATATCCTTTTAACATTTTATTTCATCATGCCAACATCCATTTAGAACATGACATGTCTTTGAAAGCCACTCACATAAAGATGGCTAGAACACGAACTTGCCCTACATTGCTGGTAAAAATAACTAAAAAGTAATCTAGTACAAGATGCGGAGGTGAAAACCTCTACATGATATTAGTTATTTTTTATCATGTAGTTTCATCTGACTTTACCTAAATCTCCATGTGTCCATCCTCTCTATTTGGTCACACATATTTATATACAGTGATGTTTTATTAGATTTTATTTTGGTTTCCTGAAAAGGTAACTAAAATGCCATGACCTTATGAAGCTCCCAATAGTAATAAAATAGTATACCAAGGTAGACTTGGTTAATATTAAAGCACCATGCTACAAACGCCTTTTTAAAAAAGGACTGTTAGCCGGGCTTGGTGGCTCAGCCTGTAATCCCACACCTTTGGGAGGCTGAGGTGAGTGGATGGCCTGAGCCCACGGGTTCAAGACCCGCCTGGGCAGGCGAGACCTCATCTCTACAATAAATCAAAAAATCAGCTGGGCGTGGTAGCGCGCACCTGTAATTCCGGCTACTCGGAAGGCTGAGGCGAAAGGATCGCCGGAGCCCAGCAGGTCGAGGCTGCGGTGGCCGGGAGCGGCCACTGCACTCCAGTCTGGGCGACAGAGTGAGACTCCAACTCAAAAAAAAAAAAAAAGGACTGTTACTAAGAAAAGGCCTTCTTAAAGATTGTCCTAAAGATATAAATGATATACTGGAAATGTCTTTCTTTTTTTAATTAAAAAAATTTTATTTTCAGTTTCAAGGAGTATATGCACAGGGTTATTACTGTGTGATGGTGAGGTGTGGGCTCTTTTAAGCCTATCCTCCAAATGGTACACGGTACCCAATGGGTAGTATCTTAAAGTGACTGATTAAATTCCTAAAATCATCTTCCTGTTTCATTAACTTGTGATTAATAAAATATGCAATGTTAATTCACTCTTATCCTGGAAGTATAGTTACAGAATATAACACATAACAATAAGAGTTCAATTTTTATAATAGTTTTACTCCATGAAATCCTGCAAATAAGAATTTTTAATCTTTTTATAAAATGATCATCATCATTAAATTATTCCATTCATATTGGAAGGATTTCTTCCTTATCAAAACTGATTAAGTCTAATTTTTAAAGGAACTATATGTGTTACTAAATATCAAGTATATGCTCATTTACTACCTTAAAAGAGAATATCTTAGGACATTAGTCATTAAGAACAAAACATATAATTCTGTATTTTGACTACAACAGTTATATAGTTTCACAAATTGTTGTCCATTTAGCATTTTAACACTTTTTCAGAATTAAATGTATTTAGAAAAGTGACACATGCTAGAGACATAACTTAAACTACTATACTAAGAACTATAAAGAGTGACTGCATAGAGTGGAGATATTCTGACATAATTATACAAAGAAATAACACTGTGAAACTCAAATTTCCTTCTAACTTCAAGATCAACAAAGCATTATGCTTCACATAAGTTTAACTTTTTCACCTTTCTATTCCTAGTTTGGTAGAGAAGAAAGGGAAGGAAACTGATGATATGTTCTAGTCTACTATGAACCAGATCCTATGCTTTTATATCTCCCAATCTTTGTGATATAAGATGCTTAGTTCTCAATAGCCCCTTTTTACGGATGAAGAAACATACTTGGAGAAGTTAGATAGTTGCCCACAACTCACCAGCTAGTCAGTGTTGTGCCAGGCTGTCCTACTGGTAGGACAATGGTCTTCAAGAGTCTTTCCACACTCACAAATCAGAGGGAGTTACCTAGAATCAATAACTAAGGTTCCATAGACCACTATAACAGTGATTCTCAAATGAAATGGAGAAACTCTTGTAGTAAGAGCCCTTTAGGAGAGTCTGATAGCACCCCAGCCTAGATCTGGTCCTCTTTTACAGGTGATACCTAGGAGGTCAGGCACTTCCACAAGTGGTAAGTAGGATTTTGACTCTCAGACCTGCATCCTTTCTACTCAGCTACACAGCCTCCTGCATTAAAATTATTTTACTGGCTAAAGCAAAGTTTTGCTTCAAAACTCTTCTGAAAAAAAAGTGCATCTAAAAAGTATAATAATATATAGACATATTATCCATTAAAAAGACAATCAATTCGTTTATGCATTAAGGGCCAAAGTGTAGATAAAACTATGATTATTCTTATTCTGCAAACTCTACAAGTAGTAAAAATAACAAAATAACTTAGACATTCAAAATAGTTAATGATCTTAAACTTACCTTAAACCATAGCAAGGCAAAGTGAGGAGCCTGAACAGTGCCAGGAAAACTCGTAAAGGAAGCAGGGTGAACACATACAAAAATGCATCTAGGCACAGAAAGATTCCAAAAACCATCAGCTGGATTTTAAAAGGAAAGAAGAAAAAAAGTAAAACATCCTTTAAGTAATTATAGATGAAAATTCAAACAAACAGGGAATTTCTAAATGTTATAGAAAATTAAGTTTCATAATTTAGCTCTGGAAATAACAGATTAATAATTCTACTTGTGTTTATGAACCATATTTTAATGAAACCCTCTTTTCAAAGTGCATGTCTGTACTTCTTCAGTCTTTGGTTTACTACCTACAGAAGTCAGTCACTCCAAAGACAAGTTGCTCTTGGTCATAGCAATGGTACATCTGTCGTCCTTTCTGAGTACTTCCTCAATCAAACTTTAAAGATATTACAGAAAACCTTTAAGCTTAAACCTCTTTATTTTTAGCGATATAGGGTACAATTTAGCGTTAGGTACATAAGTGGTCATCATACAGGTGAAGTTTGGGTTTCCCATTGGTCCTCACTTTGCCCGATTTGGGATCAGATACCCTTAGTAGTGTTATGTGCCCCTTCCCTTCCCTTCCTGGGCAGTGGCCCACTACTGCCAATCCTTTTCATGTAGTATTATGATAAATGTTCAGGGTCCATTTATGAATGAGAACATGTGGCACTCAGTTCTTTGTTTCTTTGACAGATTATTGAGTATGATAAACTCTAAATCCATCCAAGTTGCTGCAAAGTTCATAATTTTGTCCTTCTTTATAGGCTGCATAATATTTCACTGTGTATATGTACCACATTTTTAAAAATCCAGTCTACTTTCAGTGGGCAGCACGGTTGGTTCCATGTTTTTGCTATTGCGAATAATGATGCAATAAACATGCACAAGCAGGTATCTCTTTTGTAGAATGATCTGACTTCCTCTGGGTATATTCCCAGAAGGGGTATTGAGATTACTGGATTGAAAGGGAGGTCAATTTTTAAAACTTTTAGAAATCACCACATTGTTTTCCACAGAGGCTGTACTAGTTTACACTCCCACCAACGGTGTAAAAGCATTCCCTTTTCTCCGCAGCCTCTCCAGCATCTGTTGTTTTATGAGTTTAGATAAAACTCTTTACCTCTAACTTTAATTTTCATAATTTTGCTGCATCCTATTTATTACAGTACCTTACTGATGGGAAAGACTGGAATATAAATTGAGTTAAAATATTATCTATGCTAAAAATACATAAACTGATCACTAACTTGAACACAATTTCATGCGTACTGAAACTTGCTGCACTCAGAAGCCCTTATTCTTAATTCTAGGACTAGTTGCTAATGTATCTCTCCCCCCCTTCTTGTGTGTGTACTTGTCATACTCTTTCTTTTTTGTGGTAACATTAGACATTTTCACTTGTGAAATTTAGGACAATTTTTTAATGTTGGAAGCCAGCCGTGGAGGCCTGCCTGAGCGTTAGGGATCCAGGCAGGCTGCGGACCCTGAGACCACCAGGCTGGTTCAGGAGCTGAAGGCCCATTCCCTCCTCCTTTCCTTGTTGTTTAGCATTACCCACTGGTAGGGATTTTAACGATCTAAGCATGAAGTTCTGAGAATATGACAGGCATGGCTGACTCTAGGGATCCATTGTTCCCGCTTCTCACAGACTGCGGTTTCGGCTTTAAACTTAACACAGTTCAAACTCAGATCACATTTGAGAGACTTATACGTGATACAAGCTTCTTTATAAGATTTTAAAATATATTTGTAGAATTAGTATATACATTTAGAGAGCTGTTTCCAGCATGAGATGGTTATCTAGGGTTACCAGAAAAGGCCCAGCACGAACTTTGGGCACGAATTTTGGACTGGGCCACATTCTTTAGGAACTGGTTTGACCTACAATTAAGAGTTTTTTTATAGTACAGGTAAAGTTAGCACAGAATAGAAAGGTATTAGGATTTAAGTCAGTCATTAGGTGTTGGGTATGCATAAGTTTTAGAAGTTATTGATAATTAGGATTTTATGATATTAAAACTGTTGTATTGCTTTTGAGGAACGTAAATCAAGCATAAGGAACAGTGAGATAATTTTGGGATTGTCCTTCCTCATGCTTGGGGAAAATGCCTGGTGGGCGGGGATGCCCCCCCCACCTGGCTTTGTGTTCATGTAAACTCTTGTGATTTGATTAAGATTGTCCTTTCTCATCCTAAGGAAAACGCCTGGTGGATGAGGATGCCCTCGACCCACCTGGCTTTGTGTTCATGTAAACTCTTGTGATTTGATTGGGGTTGCCCTTCCTCATTCCTAAGGAAACGCCTAGTGGGTGGGGGATGCCCCTCACCTACCTGGCTTTGTGCCCACGTGAAAGTCTTGTGATTTGACATATGAAAATTTGGGATAAAAGACTCACGTTTGTTCCCAATAAACGGCTTCTATTCATTTCATTGAACAGTTGTCCACTTTCTTTCTTTCTCTTTCTTCCTCTTTATATCTATGCCTCCATCTTGCTTTCTTTTAATGTCTATCCCTACTACAGAATCGGTTTCTGCACTAGACAGAGTCCAGTCTCTTTCTTCCCTTTTATTTCTCCAGAATATTCGCCGACGCTGCCCCACCTTCCAGGGACCCTCTAAATCTCTTCTGGGGGGCTGGCTCCCCATATTTTTTTTTTTTTTTTTTTTTTTTTGAGTTGGAGTTTCACTCGGTCGCCCAGACTGGAGTGCAGTGGCCGCTCCCGGCCACCGCAGCCTCGACCTGCTGGGCTCCGGCGATCCTTCCGCCTCAGCCTTCCAAGTAGCTGGAATTACAGGCATGCGCTACCACGCCCGGCTGATTTTTTGATTTATTGTAGAGATGAGGTCTCGCTGCCCAGGCGGGTCTCGAACCCGCGGGCTTAGGCAATCCACTCACCTCAGCCTCCCAAAGGCGCGGGATTACAGGCTGAGCCACCGAGCCCGGCTGGCTCCCCATATTTTAACAAGAAGAAGGTGAAGTCTTTTGATGGCTTGGACAAGTAGCTACACCCAGACTACCAAAGTCTGCTATTCTAAGAGCAGTGACTTTCTGTATGTCTGACATACAAGCATGGTATGATATAAATGCCCCTACCCCAACAATCCATGTTAATTGTCAATAAATTATCTTAACTACATATGTTAAAGTTCACACTTTCACAGGCTGAATTTTGTCTCCCTATGTTAAAGTTCTAAGCCCAATACTGCAAAATGTGATTGTACTTGAACACAGGGTCTCTAAAGAGGAAGTTTAAGTAAAAAAAGGTCATTAGAGTGAACCCTAATCCAATATGACTAGTGTCCTTTGTAAGACAGGAAATCTGGACACAGGCACAGACAGAGAAAAGATTGTATTAAGATACAGGGAAAAGGCGGCCATCTACAAGCCAAGGAGAGACCTCAGAAGAAAACAACCCTGCTGATGCCTTGATCTCAGACTTCCAGCCTCCAGAGCAGTGAGACAATAAATTACTGTTGTTTAAACTACCTGGTCTATAGTAGTTTGTTATGGTAACCCTAAGAAACTCATACATACAGCTTTAGATGAAAGAAGAGATTTTATTAATTTTTGACAACACTGTCTCAAAAATATACTTTACACACACACACACACACACACACACACACACACACACACACACACACACACACCAGATTTCTTAATCTGAGTATAGAGACCCTAACAACTTTTTTGCTTTCAACAATTTAGACTCATTACGAACAATGGAAGTACAATGATAAAACACTAAGTCATGTGCCATAGACTGTATTTTTTAAAATCTCCCTTCCTGACTGTCAGTCATCCTGTCTCTGTTGACAGCAGAGAGTCAACCATGTTGCAACGGTTTTCTCTTTTTGCAAACAAAGGAGTGATGCAGGATACTGTGCAGGGTCCACGTAAAGTTTATGGTCCTTGTTTATTACTCTCCTGACATGAGACACCTTTTCCGGCTTGTCGGTTGACTGCTGGTTGAGCACAATGGGCAGAACCAAGCAGAAACCTGACATTCCCAGAAGGCACTCTGGGGTGTATGCTTAAGGACAGGACGCTGGGAAGGAGAGCGTACGACTGTCTCCTTCATGAGCTCACACTGAGGATGAACATCTATTAAGCCATTAGTATGGGCCAAGTAACCTGCTCAGCCCAAAGGGCACAGAGACAAACAGGACACCAAGAAGTAGTTTCTGCCCTCCATAAGCACATTCATATTTTTGCACAAGAAACACCAGGTGACTGCAGTGTTAACCACTGCTATGACAGACCTAAGTATTCAGGAAACAGAAGAGGCCTGATGGCCACACTCTTGGGGAGACTTAGAAACAACTCCAGAGAAGAGGAGACCCTTGAACAACTACTGAGGTGAAGGAGGCTACTTGCCACGCAGAGAGGGTGGACTGGGCAGAAAGGGGAGGATGGCAGGAGGTGGGCGGGGAGGAAGGGAGCTTTCCAGATGGAAGAAGCATGCACGAGAACACAGTGGGGGGCAGTAATTACGAAGACTAAAACTGTTTCTTAAAATAAGCATAGAGGCTACAGTCATCTTTCTTTGGCTTAGAGAAATCTGCATTAATATTGCTTATGGTAACAATAGCAACATAAGTTTAACCGGCCTTCCCCTTCACATTTAAACAGTTCCACGAACTCAGTGGACAAGCAATCATCTCTTCATACCGTGTGCTGGCTCTGTCACTGGACAACCTGGATTCATTACTACGGTAGATCTCAACAATAAAATGAAAGGGAAAAAATGGCTGCAATTGAAAGAAACTTCAGCTGGAGGAAGGGAACTCATTCACATATGTGAGAATATACAATACAAAAGAAAAACAAATTTCTTTCTGGGTTTGGAAATATGAAAATGTAACTCAATTACTGTGTCTATTGTTCTGATGTTAAGCTTTCTCAAAACACAGCAGGCATTCTTTTAAGTTCCTCACATATAAAAATAAGAAAATTTCCTTAAAAAGTACATAGGATGCAATCCTGAGAACATTCATCCTTGAAAGATATAAAGAAACTCAAACTCATGTTGTGTGTAGTAAGCCTGGTTCCTCGCAGGGCATGGTCACTCATGCCTGTA